TCTACTCGACCCCGCGTTTATATGGTCTTCTGCTTAAACTATATAATTCGCACTGTCCTACAAGGGATAAGTTTAAAGGCAGTTCAGGAGAGCGCGTGGGAATCTAATGGGACACTCAGAGAGTCTCCTGAGAGAGAGACAAGTGAACCGCTAAGTCGTTGTCTATGCAACCATATCAGAGGGGGAGAAGGGGCATTCCCGAGCCGTTGCCACGCTCACTTCTCCTGTTAAGCTCGCGCGGCGACGGCTGCATATTCCCGTGCCAAACTTACTTTCTTAAAGATACGTTTCTGACTCTCCCGTTTCTGGGCCTTCCTTTTTCTAGAGTACTTGACTCCGGAATGCCTCTTTTTGTATTTTGATATGATAGGTGTGCAGACCAGAAAAATGTGAGAAACAGACTGAAATCGATCTGTTGCATCGCAAGGCCCTGATTGAATGACCGGTTCTTATTTTAGAAATGAGGGCAGTGAAGGTCTACGACCTGTCTACTAACTATTGAAGAAATTCCGAACAGGCGCGTCTTCTCAAAAAATCTTTACACATTTAGCACCCGTGATAGTCGAATCGAATGCGAGTTACATGATTCAGTGTATACAAGCTGATCAAGTGGGCGGAGTCAGACCCAACCCTTCAAAAGTTCCGTAGTCAATCCCATGAAGAAGTTTTTTGGGCCTACGCTTGTTAAAATCAACAATCGTATTACACATACCTCTCATGGATGATGTCGTTCTTAGCCTCTTGCACCGCCTCTTCATGTTTCCGCTTCCAACTTTCTGCGTCGGCCTGTGCCCGTTTGAGCCTCTCAGCAAGTCCGTCAGCAGCCGATTCGGCTGCAGCTAATTGATTACGCAATTCCTCAGCTGTAGCGTTAGCGCTGTGGTTTTGTCGAATGAGTGACTCTTTTTCCTGCAAATTGAGCTCAAAAATGAACCACATTATTCATTTATTTCAGAGTACCTTCATGCAAAAAAAAAGCGTATCCACAAGAAAATTTCATTATTTTCAATGACGCTCTCATTAGAAAGCAGAGTTGCGGATAGTGACTTTCGAAAGGATCGGGGCAGAAGGTGAAAATAGCTTCAGTATACCACACCTACCGATTCTAATGAAGCAAGACTGCCCTTGTAGACTTCCAGTTCTCTCTTCATCAACTGATGTTCGGTGTGTGACTGAAACAGAACCTTTATGGACCCTCGATACCGGAAAATCGACTACATGCTGCATAGGATTAAAGTCTTAAAGCTGATTCCCGCGCTGACTGAATTGGGCGGGCGACATCATAGCACCGCGTGTTATCCTATCGCGCGCACCTCCCTTATTACGACGAAAAGCCGGCGCCATTAGGGAAAAACACAATATTGAGTCCTTGCCCATTCAGTTATCGCGGAATGTTAGGATCCTATCAGCCGATCAGAGTCTCTTATATTGCTCTGTAACCATAACAAGGGAAATCTTAGGAATCTCTCTCCAAGTTACACAATCCATAAGCCTCTTTTCCAAAGCCAGTGTTCGAGACTTTGCGTGGCGACGCGCGGTGGAGCCGCTTCACTGGCGCGGATTGATGGGCCGTCATCCGGCGTCGCCGCAAATTGCTGAAGCGCAGCCGACTCGTTGATCATCGGCCAAGGCGTGTTGCACAATGATAGTAGATAGAGTGGGCAGGCGCTAATTTGTCCCTTTAGGCTGTCCCAACTCGGCTTTCGCTCCATATCGTGAAGGCACTACAGAATGGCTTTTGAGTTGAGCAGCTCATGGTGCTACAATCTGGTTCGCTGCGGCTGAAGGGGCGTGCCGCACATGGTTGGAAGCAGTCAGCACCTGAACTTAAACCCGTCTTCAGCGATTGTTGAAGCGAGGAAGGCGTACAACGATGTGTCTGTCTATTCAGTCGTTCTTATCCAGTCGCCTTTTCACGAACTGTTCTCGGCTCACTCAACAACTGGTAGAGGACGGGAGTGGTGCCGCGCCAAGTCCATCCCACCGGACACGCCTCTTCATCCGCAGCGAACCAGACTATATTTACCGACGTGTCTACAAAGATACTCCAGAGGTATTTAGTCCAGCAGCATGTTAACCCTAATGGCAAAGACAGAGGAAATGGACAGGAGGCGCTTCGAACAAGATTTCTATTCGTCGCCTTAGAGAAGCTATATAAGAATGGGATGCTTTGAACCAAGGAAACTAATGGGAAGTTAAGATTTTTAGATGTGCTCAGAGCTACTCCCCCCCCCCCCATATTCAGCCTCTTTGGATTTGGCTGATATCTAACAAAGCTACGACCTTTGTAAGCAGCTATCAAAGCAATTTATTCTCGCCATGATTCAATCCTGAGCACAGCTCGAGCTCGAGACATGCTATGCGAAATCACTCACCACATGCGTCTGAAAAAGCTTAAGGAAATGGCAGCATCCGCAACAGCACATGCTCCTCAAAACGTAGTCCCTTTCAGGAACTTCCCTACACTGATACCGAATCTGTTTCCAACAGCCGGTCAATGTTTCCCTTTAGTGTGACTTCAGTAGTTCTTCCACCTTGTTCCCAAATCGTACCGAAAAGCCTCGGTCTCACCTCCCTCAATTGTCTCTCGAGATCACTTATTTTCTTGTCTTTTTCGATCACTACGTTACTTGTAGACGGTGCACGTGATAGGCAGTAATTTGATCCATCGAACTGAGAGTCTGCTCGTCGTCTGCAATCAAAGAATTAGCTTCGAAAACTGGCATGCTGATCTGATTTTTACCAGTGCTAGTAATATGAATATGAGGTCGATAAAAGGCGCTGTCCACGCTGATCCCATGGGCGGAGACAGATAGCCATGCGACTTCCTTATTGGTGGGTCTCCTTCTCCGAAACGGTACAGACGAGAAACGCTCCAATGAGAAAGGCGCAATGGTACCCAAAAGATCGAAGCAGACCGTGACCTAATCTTGAGAGAAAACATCGGAGCGCTGGTGGCAAATGAAAAATGAGACCCCATCTCAGCCCTACTTTCTCTAGGCAAAAACTGGACCCACGATGAAAACTCAGTGTAGGCAGGAATCAGAGAACTTAATGACCTACCGTGGGGAATATAACGAGGAGCTCATTTCGGAATCCGTTGCTCTTCGATGATTCATTGTTCGAACCGATGTGAAGGAACTCAAAGACATTAGCGAGTACTGCCGCCCATTGCAGGACGACATACGTCCAGAACTGCTGCGTCCTTAATA